TCTTAATTCAATTCTATCACCTCTAACTTCTTAATTAACCCTTTGACAAGTCAAATTTAACCTCCAACTTCAATTACTAACTCTTTTCCAAGATTTTAATTTGAAACCTCTTATTTTCAATCTCTCATAACTTGATAATCTTTGAGTTTTAATCCATCTTAAGCTTTCCTTAATCTTTTCTATCACTCTAAGAATCAAAACCAACTTTAAAACAAAAGAATTAATCAACTTGGAACCAACTTACCTTTGTCATGGAGCTTACAAGAAGAGAAGAGGAAGAAGATAAAACAATCTCCAGAATTTTCTTTCCTTTCTCTCTATTACCACGTGTTGCTCTCCTATATAAAGGGAGAAATAAAATCCTTCCTTAGAAAAGAACATTTTACCCTTATTACTTTCAAACTTTGTTATTAAATCCAACATCAACACTTTTCATTTAAATTCCTAAACTTTTAATATTTTCTGAGATTGGTCACTAAATTTTAGAATCTTTCAATTTAGTCACTAACCCCGATTTTGAGATATTACACAATCACTCACTCACTTTACATAGAATCACCCATTATTTAAAAAGGAGAGATAGAAAGCAAAAACAACTTTCAAGCTTAGTGTGTGTTATAGGTCATTATTCTCTTCCAATATATATATATATATATATATATATGATAAGATGTGCAATACTACCATGACGCCTTCAAAATATCGCTATGATATCATATGTCTGATAGGATGTACAACGCTATCATTTATAAACTCTGTGACCTTTCTTTCTTCTGTTGTAGGATTAACGTTCGCTATCTTTCCAAAATATGATATATGCACATGCATATGAACAATCCTTATTCTTAGAATTTGCACCCTAATGATTTTATATATATAACGTGACATATGCACCTGCATATCAACAATCCTTACTCTCATAATTTGCTCCCTAATGATTTTACATATAGAAGATGGAAGTAAAAAGATGGAAATTTATTAAGATCATCCATGACCGATTAATCATGAATATAGAAAAATATTTCCCTGAAAGGGGGACTTAATCAGTTTAGACAAAGGACCGAGGGAGGGGCTGGGATCAGTCGACATATACTTTAGGTTTTTTTATGATCTGATTTCATACCTCTTGATTATTTTTTTTTAATTTTACCCTCCTAATTTTTTAATATATTTTCTTAAGTCCGTACGGTCAACCTAAAATTTAGTCCTGTCCCTGAGTGTAGATCCTAAAATTGTACGCCCCTCATTTTTTTATTATTAAAAAAAATCTGAGTAAATTCTAAATTAAAGCTCCTAATTTTAATTTATTTTGATTTTACCCCTTATTTTCTATGGTAATTATACTTTACCCGTCATTATTTATGGTTAATTATATTTTGCTTCCTTGAATTGGAATCCTGGATTCTTCCCTATAGACAGGAGAACTACAAGGATGACAACACAAGCTAAGGACACTACCCTTTACTAGTTTGGACCATTTGAAACTAACAACGCATATTTGTTCCATGCAGGTAGGGAGCGTGGATGCAAAGGAAGCTTTTCGCCTTCAAAAAGAGAATAACTTTGTGATTCTTGATGTCCGACACGAAGCAGAATTCAAGGAGGTCAGTCAGCTCATTATAACTTGGATAAAGCAAACCGCAAGATGAATGATTGGCAAACAGTTCATTTTCTAACTTCCATGATGACAGGAACAGAATAGTAAAGTGCTGCTTCTAAATTTAATGCTGTTGATTCAGGGTCATCCAACAGGTGCTGTTAATATTCAAATATATAGACTTATAAAGAAGTGGACGGCATGGTACATTGCTAGGGGTGCAGCATTTGCATTCTTTGCATCTTTTCTGGCACAGAAGAGAACCCTGAGTTCATTCAAAGTAGAGTCAATGTTTCTTCTATTGTCTACCACCATTTCCTAATTATCAAGGAACTAAGTATTTGGTGTTTTGAGCACGTGTGGAATCAAAATTTGGTAAGGATGCAAAGATAATAGTGGCATGCACAACTGGTGGTACAATGAAGCCAACCCAAAATCTCCCTGAAGGTCAACAAACAAGGTATTTACAGCATTCTGAATTGTATGCAGTTATTAAGGCATTGATTATGAGCTTATATTATGAATCATAGTATCAAACAAGCTACAATCTTCCATGTTTAAAACTACCAAGGATCTAATTGCCAGATAAAGTGTGTATTTCATGCTCAGAGTGCTGGTGCAATCAATAGTGTTATACTTCTATTCAGGGATTTAAATTGCGGTTGCGACATTGTTTTCAGTCGCATTGCGTTTATTGTAGTTACGGTCATAATAGATGTTATTGTGGGTATTGCGATCATAAATTTTTTTGTTAAAGGAATTGATTTTCTTTAAAAGAAGAGCTAATATTTTTTAAAAAAAAAATAGAATAGTGGAACATTAGCAGAAATAGCAACCTACTATTGCCGTTATTGACCGCTACTCATTAAATTGCGGCCGCAATCCACTGTTATTAGTGTAATTTTGCTGCACACTGTTACCGCTACGTTATTTTGCTACCTGGTCGCTATTTAAATCCCTACTTATATTGGTTTAATCACTTTACCATAAACCAAATACATAATGTTCATTCTTGTTAATGTGGTTCAAATTTGATAGCTAGATGTGGCATTTAAATGAGACACGGATAGGATGGTAACTAAATAAATTGTTAGATATCGACTCAAATTCTAGTTTGATATCGAGTTGGATTTTGTTATAATTCTACTAGTTGAAGATTAGTTGGTGATTAAGTTATCTACTTAAGAAATCTTATGGAATAAGGATTATTGATTACCAAATATCTAAGTCTATCAGTAGAGAATGTCTTAGAGAATTATTTTGAAGAGATTAATCCTTTTGCAGGGATATTGGTAAATTGTTTTGATATATACTGGATTTTGGGATATATAAAATATCATGTAACATCACCTCTTCAATATGTCTTATTCTATGTTGATCCCATTTTATTTTCCTTTCCACTTACAATTTCCTAACGTAAATCTTGACATGGACTAAAAATGAAGCTCAAGAAGCCTAATGAATTGATGATGCTTTTTTCAGTTTCAACCAATCCAAGCAATCAAAGTTACTAATTTGCCACACTTTTCTGAATTGAAAGATACAAACGCTTGCTTTTGACAATCATGGCAGATCACTCATAGCAGCCTACTTGCTGGTGCTCAATGGGTACAAAAATGTCTTCCACTTAGAAGGGGGTCTTTCCTTGAAGTGGTTCTATGGAAATCTGAAGGCAGCAGAAAATAGAAAGTTCTTCAAAGTTAAATGCAACACCAAAGCTATGAATATAAGACTTCAATGATCTGATCCTAATCTCTTAAAATCTTTTAAAAGTACGTAAATACCTTCCCAGCAACATTTTCTTTACTTTGGAAAAGTGGAACCATAACCGTTTTGCCATTTTCCTTTTTCATCGGAACCTAATCACATCGCAATAATTCACATTCAACACCATGACTCGTGAAAAACAACTAATAATCACAATTTGATACTAAACCTGACACGGCCCACAGAAATACCTGCTTCCGAGATTTTCCATCGGAAAATGTGATGTAGATATTACATGCCGGCTTGAAGGCTCCGATCAGGAAATTCTATTTAAAAAGAAGAAAGAACAATTCCGAATTACATTGAATAAACAGCATTTTGGAGTGTAAGTGGAAATCCAGTCGAATTAGCCAAAAAAGACGAATGAAAGTGAGAAGTTACCACACTGATACGATTCAATTCTTGCAAGGTTCTGGGGGGAAACGATGAGATCAAAGTGTGGAAATTGAGGATGAGTTGAATAGTTTCTGAAAGCAAAGATTGAGATCGGATACCACATGAGGGTGGGTGTCCGGAACTACCAAGTTCGTCGTCAGCATCACGTGGTCTGAGTCGACTCGAGTATAATTTGGGCAAGCATTTCCAAACCTCAACAGTCCAACATATTTCCAATATGGGCCTTACCTTATCTTCAAAGTTAAAAGGTTTAGGCCTTAGGAGTCCAAAACAAGCGGTTTTCTTGTTTTATTATTTTGATTATGAATTAATCATGAAAGGATAAAATGTCCCTTCAATTATCGAGAGTTACTTTATTAAGTCTCTCGATTATTAAAAGTTATAAAATGATCATTTTATCATTTATTATGTTCTAAACATGTCCTTTCCGTTAAAAAAATAATGATTGTTTGAGCTGAACATTAATATGCTAATTAAGATATGATAGTCGTTTGAGATTATGAGATCAGATTTTATTATATCTCAGACAGCAAGTTAAAATCTAACTCAGACTACCGTCAATTTTTTAATGAAAAATGATGAATCTAGAGCATAAGGAATAGTCGAGGAATCCTACCAAACAACTCTTATAATCATGAGACAATTTTATAACTTTTAATAATTAAATGACTCAATAAAACAATATTCTATAATCAACGGATTATTAATGTACTTTACCTTTTTTCAATCAAACTTTCATACCATCAAGTGAGCAAAGTGATACGAGAGAACATTATTTTCTTTAGAGGTCTTGAGTTCGAACAAATGCGCAATGTGCGTACATTAACAATTAATTAAGAAAATTATGAATAGTTAATACCTTGTAATCACCCAGATTATTAAAAAAAATTCTTTAGACTTCACATATTTACATGAATCTTTTGAAATCTTTGCATTTTGCATTCGAAAATAAAAGGTTTACCTTTATTATTACATATGATCATAGAGATCTCAATAACTAGACCACTCTCAACACGTGATCCACCAGATAACATCCCAATTAAGCTTGGGGTAATTTATAAATAACACACAAATAAAAGATTTCACTTGCTAACTTCCACAAGCACCCTTGAATTTGCTGAGCTTCTAATATTCTGGGGAAAAGAATTTGCTGCATCCAAAACCCAATTGGAATGCCTAAACTTAATGACTAAAAACCGCTTCAAAATTGCCTTCACAGGCTCGAACACGATAGCGTGGCAGCATCCAAGAACATAACTGAAAATTTCAGGTATCCTGGGAATCCGATTGAAGGTTAACAATTTGAGAAACTACAAGCTTGGAGAGTTCATTAATTGCATCTTGAACCTGATAATCATTTGATTCACTTTGCCTTGACCATCCAGATAATTGTGAACTTAATCTGCTATATTCATTTGCAGCAACCCCCGTCTTCCTTGATGTGGCGATAACTTTCTCCAAATCATTCTGTGATAATGGTCTTGGAGCCTGAAAAACAAACAATGGAAGATGAATAAAAACCTTGATATGAATGATAATGTACCTTAAAAAAATGCTAGATCTAAAATTCCCAAGTTCTCATCAATTCTACTTGCAAATTGCTTTATGTATAACAAACATGATCTTCCTAGAATCTCTCATTCCAACTATAATCATGCACTTGACCAAGAAAAAGTTAGATTCGGTCTCTCATTTCACAATAGAATTTTAAGATGATGTATGAGAATTTATACATATATACTCAAAATATACTTACTCCAGATGGTTTTCCTTTCTTCGCCTTATCTAGTATGTCTCTGATAGGAAAGTAGGCTGCTTTCTTGCAGAGTTCAAGAAGATCTGAACCTGTGTAACCTTCACACAAACTGGCTACGTAGTCAAAGTCAATGCTTGGTTCAACCCTCTCACCCTTCAAAATTACCTTCAAAATCTCAGCCCTCTCCCTGCGGTCAGGTACACCAATCTCGAAAGCCTGAGGGAGACGTCTGAGTATTGCTTCATCTAGTTCTGATGGACGATTTGTTGCAGCAAGAACCAGGGCCGTGGAAGGGTTTTCGGGGCCTGTACAAATTCGTATAAAGGAGCCCCTATTTTCTAGATATATTCGATTTCGGGGCAATAATAGTGGCGTTTTCTTGACAAACGCCGCAATAAATCCATCTATAATGGCGTTTTATCAATAAAGCCGCAATAATAGTGACGTTTTTTTAAAAGAACGTCGTAATAGGTCAATCTATAGTGGCGTTTATTGGTAAAACACCACTATATATTTTTTTTTGGGGTCCTTTTTTGGGGGGCCCTGCGCGGTCACGCAGTTTGCGCCCCCAGCCACGACCCTGGCAAGAACCATAACTCGTGCATTCTCTGCACAATATTATATAATTATAAGTTTTAAATTTAATAACAATACCTATAACATTCTTCAGGGAGCTCTTCGTCAAAAAACAAATAGAATACAGAAATTTATTGGAGAATTGATGGTATTATATAAAAGCCTTTTAGATAGAAAAATACTCACGGTCAGTGGTATATCCATCCCATAAAGCCATAAACTCAGTCTTCATGTTTGTCATTGCTTCATGATCTGTATTTCGTCGCTGGCCCAAGAAACTGTCGACCTCATCAATAAATATAATAGCAGGCTGGAGTTTATAGGCCAAGCTAAATATGGCAGCCACTGCAAATATACAAGAGTAAGGGGTTGTTTGTTTGCCTCTTAATGGAACGATTCAGCGCTGAATGTTGAACCGTTCAATCTTCAGCGCGTTTGTTTCGCACCTCTGAATGATACAGTGCTGACTGATTCAACAAAACAGTGTTGAATGATTCAACACAGAAATACATTATGAATGATTCAGAGTCATTATCAAACAACATGTCACATTCAGAGCTAATTCATACAGAGCCTCTAGCATTTGAATCATTCAGCGCTTAATCATTATGAAATAAACAAACAACCCCTAAATAAACAATTCAATCTGAGACATATAAAATAAACAAACTTGCATAGGTATTACAGCCATTAGAAAATGTATAAAATGTAGTTGTGATTAAAGAAAACATTTTGGGCCTCAGTCAAAAAGAGATGGTACAAAAACACTTAGCATGACCTTAGGATCAAAAGTTAAACTTCTATCAATTTGATCTTAATTTTTTTAATTTGTACATATCACTATTCGATCGGAAAGTTTCTTATAATTTTAATTCTTTTAATTTAATATCCAATTAATCTTCATCTAATTAGAGGAAAAAAATAAGAGAGAATTAGGAGAATTAACCATCAAATTATAATAAATTGAACTTAAGACAGGAAATCTAATGATATATTTTATTAAAAAGTTATCTATTAATGAAAATGAAAATTTAAACTCAGATTATTGAGAAAAGAGAATGATTAAACATCAAGTCAAATCTAATACTAGGTTAAGATTAAAAAATATATATATAAACTTTAACTATTAAATAATTAATATAATTATATTTGATTTGAATACGATAATATATGATAAGTTAAAAATAATTATTATTTATCATTTCACAAAATATTATTAATATTTAAAATATATTATAAATAATTTTAATAAATATTAATAATTACTTACTTTAATATTAGTTACTAATTTTATTGTTATAAAATGGTATTAGTTTTTAATTCTATTTATTTAATATTAATGTATATGTTAATATATTTTTGAAAAATTATAATTATAAAAAAATTGAAAATATATTTATTATATTTTAATAATATAATATTTATATTTTATAATTACATATTTAATAAAATTCTTAATAAATATATTTTATTTAACTATCGATATTGATCTATTGATGACTATTTAGGATCAAATTTCACAGAGATCATTCCCAATCCAGTTGTTCCATTCGCAAACATCATAATCGATCTCCTGTTCTTGCTTAAAAGATCTAATATCTCTCACTAGACCAACATGTGAAAAAAATTATTAATTGTGATGAAAAAAATTATGGTGAGTGATCAAAAGGACGACTCAATCTTGTCATGAAGAGTTACCACCAAGTCATACGCATCGTTAAGGAGTTTCCATACATCAAGTTGCCCTGCCATACTGTTGCACTCCCTTAAAATCTCATCCATGCTGCTGTACTTCTCAATGATCCATTTCTCCTCTGTAACACTGAAGCGCAATTGCGTAAAGCAACAAATCATCTGTTGGTGGTGCCTTCTGCCTCATCTGCTCCATGCCGACTTCGAAATCCCGGCTCTAATGGCTGCCTGATCTGCCCACATTACCTCCCAAAGGCACACAGTCTGTTCAAATGTCAATTCCCTCCTAAAAAGGACCACCACCATCCTGTAAACAAAAAAGCAATCCTTGCCTGCATCTTCTCCAAATGCCTGTAAAGCTGAGAGTCCTTGCATTTGATTATCTTGGAAAACAATATCGAGTTGCTTCTGATTCCCACCTCATCGAGCCTAAAATTATGTCGAGCTTTCTCATGAAACCTACGAAAACCGGAAAGCCTCGTAATCCTCGGGGATAACTGAAATTATTGGAGAGAAAGGAGATCACTCATGCCCTGGCAGTAGCCGATTTTGAGTCGTAAAATGCGTAAGCTTCAAGGTAGCAACCAAACGTGCAGCGTGGAAAATTCTGCAGGGCTCTAGGTGATCATAATCCTTTAACCCAACAGCCTCAGCAGCATGGCGTGCCCTTCTCTGGCACTGAAGCTTGAGAAGGAGAGTATGGCATCCAGTCAGCATTGGCACGAACGGCGTCTAGACGAATGATTCGCTGCCAGGTGGAAAAATCTTCAGTTGCACGTAGCTTTGATATCCCTCAGTGCTAGAGAGAGGAACATTCCTTCCCGAAGCAATGTCAGGGTCATTTCCCTCTCATACGAAGAGTGAGAACCCTCAGTCACTTCAGGGTCTTGAATAGTCGGAGTCTGATGAGTCACTGTTCAGTGCTGACACATATCATTGTATTCTTGTTGAACTATCATCTCCTTCCAACAATGTACTCGATGGTTCATCAGAGAACTCAGCAACCGGGTTCCTCTCTATCATCCGAAGAGTGAGAACCCTCAGTCACTTCAGGGTCTTCTGAATAGTCGGAGTCTGATGAGTCACTGTTCAGTGCTGACACATTATCATTTGTCATTCTTGTTGAACTATCATCTCCTTCCAACAATGTACTCGATGGTTCATCAGAGAACTCAGCAACCGGGTTCCTTTCCCCACTAGAGAGAGATTCTCTGGCACTAACAGCATCTTCAGAGCTAGACGTGTCTGTCTCCTGAATAAGACTTCCACCGTCTCCATTTTGACAAGTTCCACCAGTTTCAGATAACTTAAAACTCTCACTGCCATGTCTTAGGATCCGTCGACACTTTCTGCGGAGTTTTTCATACTCTTTTCTGCATCAAAAGGTTGACAAAGGGTGAAGAAACAAACCAAAGAGGATACTCTTGGTAGCATTTGACTGGTATAGCTACAAGGAATAACAAAGTAAAAAATACAGGAAGAAAAAGGAAAGTTAACCTTTTCTGAATTCTAACAGCATCTCTTTCTTCTTTGGAACTGTTTAACTCATAGCTGTTACGGAGAAAAGAACAAAACAAATGTCATGATATGAGATTGAAAACTCATGGCTGAGAGGAGGTTAAGATGCTACCCCAGACAAAAACTATTCTACAAAAAATAGAAACTTCCTGTGATGTCAGCTTGAGGGAGTAAAGAACAGCAATTGAAGCAGTACAACAAGGGTAACAGAGGTTCCGCGTACTTACACTCCAAGGAGGGCCAGACCTCTGCCCTAATACTAGGATCAACACCCTGCATCAATGGTGTACAAGATTAAGCCTTTCAACCAACATATAGAAGAGAAAATCAATTGGTTAGTTGTAGCAGTAACTCACTCTACAACGAACTTCCTTCAAGAACTTGACTCCACCATCCTGGAGTCGACCATCAGGTGTAAACAAACTTCTCCATTGTTGAGGCGAGAGGGCATGTTTCTTTCTACGGCGGACCAGGGTGATCTGAGACGACCACTGGAAAGGTCAAATTACAAATAGAACATGAGAAATTAATAATAATATGGCAAGAATATGTGATTAAAAATAACATAAGTAAACAAAATTATAACGTCAAGGGAAACAATTTATTGATAATAGAACTCTTATCTGAGTTTCACATAATGAGGTTCATGGAAATAAAAATCATCACTAAATTTGCTAGAAAGTGTGATTTGAGAGCTATTTCAAAACCATCATGATACCAAGAGGTTGTCTCCTTTTCCCTCATCATGCGTTACACCAGATACCACTCTCATGAGCAAAGAATACTGGACTGCACCAAATGAGGATCCATCAGAAGGAAAAGATTTACATTTCAATTCTATTTTGCTTGGGACGGTAAAAAGAAAGTTGTAAGTCATGATTGACTCTTGATCTCCCTCTAATTTGCCAATTTTATCCAGCTGCTGATTGGGAAAAAAACGGAGAGAAATTATCTGATTTTACGTCATAAAATAGAGTTTCTTTTTTTTTCTTTCAAAATATATCTGTTTCATTTGATTGTGAGTGTGTTAATATTCAATTATTGCAACATTAAAGTCACAGATTGAAGCAATCTAAAGGCAGTCTTTGTAGTCTATAAAAGAAAATAATGCAAAAAATTGTAATAATAAAAGTTTCCAAGTCGCATTAACACAGATTAAATAATAATAACAGTAATAATAAATGAAGCAAAGAAAACATTAGAATTTGAAATTAACAAGCACCAAATGAAGCAATAATGACTGAAAGTACTAAGAAAGAAGCTTAAAACCTAATTAGCCAAAAAGAAGTTTGAAGGGAAATAGTAAGAATCTAAATGAAGAAAAAAAAGGAAGCAGAGCAAATTAGGAAACAGGTAGTTTCGAGCTTAAACAAAGGAGATCGGGATCTGAATCGAAAATCTAACAAGAGTAATGAAACCAACAAGTGTTCGAGGGGAAGGGGGAGAATAAAGACCAGGACTCACCGATCAGAGGAAGAACAAGAAACTAGTGAAGAAGTAACAACGAATAGAACCGAACGCGAATGAATCCACGAAGATGACGATGACGAGGAGGGTGATGGTGAAATCGGAGATGAAGACGAAGTCTGACTTCGCCTAAGAGCTCTCATCTTTTCGAATTTGATTCATCGTTACTATACCGTTACTAGGGTTTTCGGAAATTATTTTTACCGTTAAGCATTGAATGATGGATCGGTTTCTTTCTTTTATAAAAATTTCATTTTACCTAGTAGTCGAGAAGAAAACGGCAGCAAACACAGCGAGGCCCGCAACAGCGGTGACGGCGACGGCAGTTTTTGAGGGCGGCACCGATAGAGTCGACCAAAATCCGCCGCCGCCGCCGAAGTGGTTGATTCCGGTGGGGCTGTTGTTGGCTGGGGGGAACATCGAAGTTTTGAGATGGCCGACCTACCCCTTCTCGTGCTTCCTTATCTTTTTAGCTTTGTTGACTGAGTGCCCCTTATGGTGCTTGGGCTGTAATCAGTCTATTTCATTTGTCTCTCTCTACACTCCAACTCTATAACTTTTCACTCACACAGAGATTTCAGAATGAATCCACTAGGTTTAAATATCAATTCAATAAAAATATTAAAATAATTTATGAAACTAAATTTATTATTTCAATTTATATTTTAT